TAGAAAACGCTCCTCCCAGTATAGGTTGGCTTGTGTAGGATTGGCTTGGTAGAGCATTTTCACAACCTCTAACTCCTATACTGGGAGAAGCGTTTTCTGTAGTGGTGATAAGTATTTTTGAATGAAACAGTATTGCGACCTGTAGTGTCTCCGCCAAAACACACGCCAGTATAGAAAACGGCTCTCCCAGTATAGAAGCTATTAGGTGTTGAGATATTCTACCAAGCCAGTCACGCACAAGCAAACCTATACTGGGAGGAGCGTTTTCTATACTGGGAACTGCCGCGCCGCTCCCAGTATAGAAAACGCTCCTCCCAGTATAGGTTGGCTTGTGTAGGGTTGGCTTGGTAGAGCGTTTTCACGACCTCTAGCTCCTAGATTGGGAAGAGCGCTTTCTATACTGGTGATAGGTATGTTCGAATATAAACAGTGTTTCTCAACCTGTAACCTGTAGTGTCTCCGCCGAAACACATGCCAGTAAAGAAAACGGTTGGCACCCAACTAGCTCCTACACTAGGATCAGCTTTTTCTTTCTTGGTGATGGGTGGGTTGGCGATAGCTTCAATCTGAATAGCATACTTACAGTCTGCAGTGGCTCCGCCGAATCACATACCAGTATAGACAACGCTCTTCCCAGTATTTGTAATACCAGTATATATGATCCAGTGATATCCAGTGGGTCAGAAGAGGGTCAAATGAGTCTGTATATTATGCTCTGCCATCCAAATCTACGCATGAGCAAACCTATATTGAGAGGAGTGCTTTGAACAAGCTGCAAAGAAGAATATAGCTCCCAGTATAGAAAACGCTTCTCCCAGCATAGGCTTACTTGTACTATGTCATGCTGAAGCACGTAATAAGCTTCTTTATTGGGAGGCTCGTTTTTGCTAAGTTCGGTTTGAGTGTTCGGTAGCCAGTGCAAAGGGCATGGTGGCACGTCCTGGGCAATGCATCAGTCACTGGTCGAGAATTTGGAGAGAGCAACCGTAAATCGGGAATTTACGTATAAGCAACGCAATTACCATCAAATGTAGTTCATGTGTGAGAGAGTCTGTTTTTCTTGCATGGATATTGCTGGCTGCATTCCGAAGTTAAATTCTTCAGGATTCAGAGTTCAGTTTGCTATCTGCTAACTATCTTGATCTGACATGTTGTGATTCTAATTAGGACCCGACCAGAGATTTGAATCTGTAGCGGATTGATCGCGCTTACATTTCCGAGGCCAAGCCCCAAACCTAAACACCCTGAAACACTCTTCATGAATCTGAAACCGCCACAGTCACAGAAAAGACACAAAGCCTCAAGCTCAAAAACCCCTCACATGCATTAGTTTGTGAACTGACCTACAAGCCCCTGGGTGAACGCAGAACTCTTGCAGCAGTTCAGCATTATTCTCATGACGAGCCTGTGTTCCTATTGACCTTCAGGTATTGTGTCGTTATAAGAACGGCCTCTGAGCATCTCCAACATATGCTTCTTCATACTACTCGTGGGTTTCCCAACGACACAAGCACGCATCTTTTTGACATTGAGCTGATCAATGCTTAACGCAAGGTCGCTGCTGCTGGCGTCTGGAGCTTCGGAGCTGGGCAGCGGCAGTGGTGCCGTCCTCACACAGACATGCGTTCGCGTGAGCCGGGCAGGTTGACAATTGTTGAGGGATTCTGGCTGAGGGGGCATTGCCATCAGTCATTGACTCATGTCTGAAGGGTAGCTTGCTGGCTTTTCAGTAGTGTCTTTTCGGCATGGCTTCACACACCAGCTTTGCCACGGCTATTTACACTCAAGGGGGGGAGGGCAGGGGCGGCTGCAGTTTCATGATATAAAGTACATTATTATTGGTTTCCAATTCCCAAGTGTTGTGAGGCAACTGATTATAACACCAGGACCACAGGCTGCTCATTCCAAGTTGTACTTTGGACCAGCTGGGATTGCTTCATTTCCAGGTACTCATCACATTTCATGATATCTCCGACTGTGCCCCCCTCTAGTCCCAATCCCCCAAACGACGTGGGATTCGTAACAAAGTCCGTTTGGTATTCTCAAGTTTCGCCATCCGTTAAATCCGATTTAGCTTAGGGCCCAGCGAGGGTCTTATATTTTGAGCAAACTAGGTTTCAGGGCTTGAGGGCCTTGGGTCCAGCTAGGGCTTGAGGGCTTTGGGGCCTGGGATCCAGCTCGGGTTCGCCTGGGGTTATTATGACCGGCCCACAACTAATCAGCCAGACGGGCTCTCGGATTCATATTATATATATATATATATATATATGTATACATACATACATACATACTGTAAGTCCCGACTCTGCGCTTGCTGCCATGGCGGATGCTGATCCTGATGCGTCGACCTCTCCTGCAGAGAGCCCGACAGAGGTGGTCGAGGCTGAGAGCGACGAGTCGGAGTCGGAGGAGTCGGAGGCGGCGGTGGGGGCGGCGGCGGCTGGGGCGGCGGCTGAGCCTTCTGCTGCTGATGAGCCTCTGACTGAGCTGCCGCAGGTGCCGGGCGGCCAAATTTTAAATAGGGTTTTAGGGAGGTTGAGGATTTCTGCTACAAAGTACGTGGCCCATGCGAGGCAGAGTCGGATCTGCCGGAGCCTCTGTCAGATGACGATGAGGAGCTCCGGCAGGCTCTGAGGGCATCGCTCTATGCTGCTTGGCTTCTTTAGTACTTCCTTGGACTTGCTTGGTTGGTGTCGTGGGCTCTTTCGCTTTCCAGGCACGGGTCTCTAAGATTGGACGCTTCCGAAACTTGTGAGGAGTCCCACGGCGGTGACAGCGAGGCGATGCCATCTGGGGGCGAGCCTGCCTCTTCTTCTGCTGCTGGCTCTGGAGTGCAGACTTCCGCTGAGGAGCGGGGGTTTCCATAGCAGTGTACGTGTTTTTTTTACTTTCGCGAGCTTGGATATAGGTTTCTCCAACCCTTCTGGGAAACCTTTTGCTGTATGCGGCAGGCTCCGAAGAAGAAAAAGAAGAAGAACAAGCCGAATCCGACTGAGAGGGCTCGGCTCAAGCGGAAGGCCGAGGTGCGGGAGATGCAGGGGGCGCTGGCAGAGGAGTACGACCGCTCGCATTCCCACAATCGAATGATGAGGGACCTGCTCGCCGATGTCACTGTATCTTGGATCCAGCTTTCAGCAGCTTTTGTAAAACAAGGTTGTGACAGCAATTGAAAGGGAGCACTGCAAATTGAAATCCTGATCCAAGGCCATGCAGCAGCTTCTCTTGCAGTATCGCCAGATCCACCAGTGGTACTTCAACAATGCGCCGCCGTGGCTCCGGCGAGAGATGCCCTTCGAGTTCCCGACTGGGAAAACGCTGCCGCAGGACTTCTTTCAGAAGAAGCCGAAGATGCTGCATCAGTCCATGATGGCGGACCTGCATGCCCCATGTCTGAAAGAATCTCTTTCAATTTCGGTGCTTAGGCTTCCTGCGTCTTATTCTTATTATGCCTTTGTGCCGCCTTGCAACAATCAAGGAGTGGTGTGGGCTCTGCATGCGTGGCTATGAGCTGATCTTGTGGTGGCAGCGGAAATACATGGATCATCACAGGGATGGCGATCAGAATCCTCATGCCTGGATGCTCCGACCGCCGCCTCAGCGTCCTGGGCTTGCTGCTGGACCTGGGGCTTCTTCTGGCAGTGCTGCTTCTGGAGCGGCGCCGCCGCCGCCCCCACCGCCGCCGCCGAGTGGCGGGCCCCCGCCAAAGAGCGGGTAAGGGGCCGAGCCTGCCGGAGATTAATTAAATAGTACAACATAGGACATAGGCTCCATTAATAAAGTCCTTGAAGTGTCACGGTCCTGGCGATGGCTCGACAGGCTTCCTGCCCCTTTTAGCTTCGCCAGGCATGGTCATCGGAGCAAAACAATCAATATTATTGGAGGGTGTCGTGCAGGGATTGTCTTGGCCCATAAAATGCAAACGCACCCCACCGCTCCTTCAGTGCCCATGATGTATGGAGAAGATCAGGTTAAGCCACTAATTATAGACTAAGCCGGATACTTGATAACTCAAGCCGCTATTGAACGCTTAAGGCAAAGCCGAATTTCTTCTGAAACATTGGCAGGGATGAGGTCGAAAACACCCATAGTCTAGTGCCAGGTTCTTTGTAGAACCCCTGTATACTTAATATCAAACAAAGCTGATGGCTGGAAATCACATTATTATTCCTGAAGCCCTGTGCAACAACCATATGTTTCTGCAAGTAGGCAACCACAGGCATCTAACGACATGCGCAAAGACCACCCCGACCCGTGGTTATGGAACCCTATGCTTTAAGTCATAATGTTGCCTTGCGCGACTTGTTATCGGGATTGCAAATACCGTGTTCCAGGGGTACTTTGGCTCGGGGCTCCGGGTTCGTGGCACTCATCCCAATCCCCTGCCTGTGCCCTTTATTTAACTCATTATACATAATTTTCGAAACCTGGTAAGTCCTCACATGGTGCAATTTCAGTGCCGATGCCCAGGTGCCTTGTTGCCGGCAGCTGCAGCTGCAGTTTCCAGCCGCAGGCTTGCCCAGCTCGTTTGGTCCGTTGTGTGAGGCACGATCGAATGAAGTGGCAGGCCTGATGTTGTGAGATTGCTGATTGAGTTGTCCGGCCCATACTGATGAACTTGCCCCACGTCAGCCTTGATTGTTGCTTCATCGCAAAGCTGGACCAAATAGACTGGGGCTGTCTTTGCATGGTCAGGACATAGGCAGCACGTCTTTCAATTTCAACAATATAATTTTCAAGGTCCCACTAGTTTGTCTTAGTCCACTGTCACGGAGATGGAGGTGATAGAATTGAGCTTGATCTTCTCAGCATCGCATTGCAGTCTTGTGAAAGTAAGGATTTGATTTGACCAAACTTCATAGGGAAGCAGATGCCCCCGTACCCATAGAAACCGAGTCGGTGCATATCTTTCGATGATCGGTGCTAGTCGCCATTAGCCGTACCATGTGTTACACATAGTTAAAGTCTGGCCCTGGACGACGTTCGGCAGTCTTGGGGGTTCCATGGCTGCAGAAGCTGTGCCAGTGCCGCCGTGTGCTCCTGATGCCAATGAGATCCGAGAGGCACCTCCGACTCCGGAGTTGCAGCGCTGCAGTGTCGATGAGCTCCGAATGCATTTGGAATCTTGTCCAGATGGCCACAAATCCTGCCGACAATGCATGTTTGCAGCAGGCCAGCTAAGTCGGCAACGGTGGTTTTCAACTTGGGTGACTCGTTCAGGGGTTGAAACCATGCTTATTGTATTTGGGTTTGCAGCCTAGTTTCGCCATAAGTCTGAAAATTGCGCAGGTTACTTGGGGCGACTCCGCAAATCCTCAGTTCTACTGCACACAACGGATGAGACGCACTCATGGAAGCGGCAGTGTACTTTTCGTTTCCAGCAGCAAATGCATTCGTGGGTGATCTTCAGAGACAATCCTATCAAGGTGGGTTGTTTTCTGTGCTTCAGAGGCAAAGTGAACTCACCGTATGCTCGGGTTGAGGCACAGCCTCAGCAAGCCAGTGACCTGAGCAACCATTCCAAGAACTTGAAGCATATCAAGGCACTTGAGGCATTACAATCTGCGCAGCTGAGTTCGGACCGATCAGAGCAGGAGCCACAGGAGCCGGAACTGAAGCATGGCATTGTTTCGGGCCTGAGCTCGAAAGTGCCAAGAATGGACAGCTGGGTTGCAGCGCTGAGCAGCATTCTGACCCGTTCTTCCCTCCAATCGGTGCAGGACCAGTCTTCAACTGCAGCTGTGGCTTCAGGGCTCTTAGATCCTCAGGCAGATGCATCCGACACGGTGCTTCGAAAAATGCTGCAATGCCTGGTCGAACCACTCAACCAGGAAATCCTTTTTCACATGAGGCAAGCTGTTGCATCCTCTATCGCAATGGACCGTGGTCCAGATTCTTGCCTGGTCGTTTACGCAAGAATACTGACAAAGTCTGGTCAGATTTTTGATTGCCACTTGGGCATTCAGGGCGATTGTGTTGCAGATGCAGAGGAGCCTCAGGCTTCAAGAAAGCTGTCTGAAGCCTTCAAGAAGATTCTGCTACGTTCCTGTACGAAGAGGGGGGACGGAAGGAGATCCAATCTGTATCATGGAGAAGACGACACGATTGATACAGTCGCCTTCGATCGTTTCTGCGACAGTGTCAGGTCAATCGTTTGCGATGGGTGCGCTGTGGAGCAGCGTGCAGCATTCGAATCTAGCCCGCTGGTGGGACACCTGGTCGGGGCTGCTGAGCGACAGCCTCTCTTCCCCAATTGTGCTATGATCACGCGGGATCGTGCTCATAGGGTGCGATCGGTGCAAAAGCTGTTTTTCAAGAAGCTCCCGCCTATCTTCAGCCAGTTCATTGACAAGCTTCTGACTGGCAAACGCAGCATAGCCACTTTGCTTGAAACCTCAGATAAGTATTCCCACGCTTTCCTGAACAAGCAAAAGGCTGCCAGGGCTGGTGATGCCGACGGCGAGCTGGAAAGCGGTGCTGGGTTTAGCAAGCTCATAAAGTCCTTGAGCTTTGCGGACCATCGCTTCGATAGCCGGCTAAAGCCCCTGTTCCGGCTTTTCAAGCTGCTGATGATTGTGTTGGAAATGTTGCAAGACATTGCTTCCGGTCTTGGCCCCTGGGAAGCTGATGATCGAGAGAAGGCAAAGAGTGTGTTGTATGACTTCTCCGGCGACCTCGGATACATCACGGTGGTTTCAGCCGCCGTTACGGCTGACGCGATGTTGCTGGGCTCTCCATTCTTGCGAGTCTGTGACCAGGACAACGCAGACTATGCGCTGCAAGCGCCTGCTGCAGCGAAAGCTTTGCAAGATATGCGACATTTTCTATACGATGGAGCCATTTGGCTCCCGGATGCCCGCAACACGCTCACCCACACTGTCTTGAGAGCCATAAAAGACAGGCTGATGATTCTGCGCCACAATTCCAAAGACTGTGAAGCAGTGTCAATGAGGTGGCCTGCTCCACAGAGTGCTGAGAGAAACAAGCCCGTCGCCATTGCTCGCGAGTTTCTTGATTGAAGTCATCCGTTTCCTTTTCGATCTTGATTACCGACATAAACAATCAGATCTAGAAAGCAGGCAGTGCAAAGATTGCGAACCCTCAGGTTCTATGCCATCTTCGAGGCCTTCTGTTCTATGAGGCCGAAAATCAGTAGTTCTGTGTGTTCCTGGCTCATTGATGGTGATACTTCTAGTTCTCTTCATGCTGGTGGATGTCCCAGTGCTCTTTCTGATGCTGTTCTTGATGTTGCTCCTAGTGTTGCTCAGCAGCGGGAGGAGGTGTTGTTGGTGGCGGCGGCTGTTGCTGCTGCTTTGGATGTTGCGAGTTCTGGGACCTACTCGGATTCTTCGGTATTGGCCCCTGCTGTTCTGTGTGTAATACCAGAATAAGTGGGAGCGCTGCTTGTGACGGACTTCTTCCGGCTGGTATCAACACTATGATATTGCCTCTCCTGCTGTTACTGTTGATGTTACTTCTCCTGCTTGAACTGTATTTTGTTGTGGCTGCCGAAGTGCTCTGATGTGGTTCAAGTTACGGCTGTGCTGCTGCTGTTTTTTTCGTGTCGGTGGTTGTCCTGATCTTTGCCGCACTCGTGTCATGGGTCTTAGGTCGTTGTGTGCTTTCTCACGTTTCTTTTCTTGCTGCTACTGCGTAGCAAATCCTGGGTTTGGTTGTTGCCTTCGTGCCCCAGCAGGAGGCAAACTGCATGGTGGCATTCAACCTCGACGTCGACATGACACTTTCCGATCGCCAGAAATTCTTGATGACGCTGGCGCAGAGATTGAATGTGGACGGCGGCAAGGCCTGGCGTTCTTTTGTCGGCAGTGGCCGTGGACACACAACTGGGCTATTGGCGCAGGCCCGTTACTGGGCCAGCAGCGCAGGTCTGGCAAATCGCCCAGAACAGTCGACTAGTCAAGTCAAGCACATCTGCCACAGCCCCGAAAGCCATCACCAGCAAGCATGGCTGCAAACATTTCGCGACCTTCGACAAAGCGACGGCCATGCGGAGGCAAAGCAGCTGCTGGCGTTTTATCTCTCGGCGCTGAGTGGTACGCAGACAGTCGAGCGCTTCATAGGTGCCATGGAGAGTCTCAAGAGGCAAAGACGCACCCTTCACGATCGGTCTCTCGAGGCCTCTATGAAACTTGTCTTGATGGACTTGGGCGGCCGTCGCCGACAGCGTCTGGACCCGTTGGCACTCCTATCCAAATCTGCGCCTGGAAGGACGTCTGGCCAGGCCACCGTCCTTCACCCTTCAACGCCATATCTCTTGCGAGCTCAGAAACTCTATGGCCAGTGGTTCGGTGAACGGGCATCTGCAGGACGTTCCCTTCAAGTTGCAAGTTTGTCTGAACTTGGCGTGGCCCAGGTGAAAGCCAAAAAACCTCGCCTAGGCGGGCCGCGGACTCTGCAGAACGATTCAGAGGCAGCCCAACTTGGGCAGCACAGACAATCTTGCATGGCAGCCATCAGTCAACTTCAGTCTGGTGCTGGCACGGAGACGATCCTGGGTGCGGAGCTTCCTCGACCAGAGCCACAGAAGCAAGTGCTGTCTCAGATGGCGGATGCCGCTTGGGAAATGTCGAAGCGGCGCAAGACAAAACAAGATCCCGAGCCTTTGCCTGTTATTGCTGACACCGTATCCACTCCGACTGCCATGGCCTCTTTGCTGGCTGGAAAGCCTTCTTCTGCCTCGTCATCGTCCACGTCAGTGCCAGTAGATGATGCAATTGATTGGACGCAAGCTGTCAGTGCCGTTCAGAAGCAAGCGCAGGTGGCCTTGCAGAGACAGCAAGCCCAGGTGCAGGGGAAACCTGGCCAGCCCACTGCATTCGTTGATTCGAAAGGAGGAGGGATGACTGTGATCCCAGACGGTCCTGTCTCAGAGCCGCAGCCTGGCAGGAAAGTCCCAACATTGCCATTGAAACCAATTTTGTTGCGTGGCCCTGGTGCGGAGAAATCATCTTTGAAGGGCTGCATTCCGGCAACATTTCCAGACAAGCCAGACATTGTGCTGGTGTCGTCTATAACGAGTCACTGGGAATCGCCGGAGGGCCTTCTTGCCCGCTTAGAAGGCGCTCGTTTTCGTGACCTCGAGACATCCCGTGAGGTGTTCTTCAGGGGAGCTACACAGTGTCAGCATTTCGTGCTCTACGTGTCCGACAGCTTTGCGAAGCAGCACCCCGTGCATTTGCAAGCCCTGGAAGCATGTGCTAGCCGCAGTCCCCTGATGTTTTCAAGCCGTGCCAAGGGAAAGGTCAAACGGCTGGAAGTGCATACTGGATACACGGCTCTTCCAGAAGAGCTTTTGTTTCCAGAATTCACCTATCTTCTCGTGGCAAAAGTCTCAGAGGGTGAAGAGGGTGCGAAGCACCAGCTGGATTTACGCATGCTGCTCAACCGCTGCAGCCGCTGCTATGCTAACTAGAAATCGAAGCGTTGTGTGCGACAGCCGATAAGACATGCTTCTTACTGTCTCTGCTGTCTGTGCAGGATCCGAGACTTTGAAATTTGTATGTCGACTGTGCTCCTCCTTGGTGAACCGACAATGTCCTCTGCCAGGTCCTGGCGGACAACGATTCATGCGAGACGCTAAGAAGGGAAAGGAACTTCCAGTGCTTTGCTCCCACACTGTTGGGCAAATTATCAGACGAGACCGGTCTGCTCAGTGAGTAAGGTTTTAATCATAAATCAAGTGCAAGCTGCAGCCTTCTGCCGTGGTTGTGTCGTCCACCAAATTGTACCAATCTGCAGTGTGACGTGTTCGGATTCGAAGGGATACGACTTTGAATTGTTATGTCAGGCGTCAGGAATCTCGCGAGTCAATCGGGCCAGGGGGATGATTGTTAGTTTTGAAGCATGATGTGCTCTGCCTGGCACTCCTGAGGCCCGGCACCAAGGCATGTGCTTCCAGGCCGTCCCCGCCCTGTTTGCGTGCGTTAAGCCAAGCATGTAGCTCTGGGCTCTGGCTGCATTGTTCCACTTTGGAAACGAAATTTGTTGTGTGATAGGGCTTAGTGGGCTGAGATTCAACCTTACTAATTCATTATAGATAGCCATTGATATTCATCTACCATAAGCATGTTTCAACGTCCGGCAAGTGCTAAGCATTGGCTGGCAGTTGCCCGCTTGGCCCGTGGCGCCCCGGTTGATTTATTTGAGGCCTAAAGCTCTCTTGTTCAACTACCTCATATAGGGTTTTGGGATGGTTTATAAGTTCATGAGAAGGCTGTGCTCTGGCTAGATGAAGTTCCGTGCCCTCGTAGGTCATTTGCTTTAAGTTCCCCTTACTCTTAGTTGCTGGCAGTGACGTGCATCTTCGCAACACGTGGCTGGTACCGGCTTCAAACACAGGTCTTTGACTGTCTATGTCTGCTGTGTTGTGTGCAGGAGTCAAGGATCGCCGGCTGTTCAGTGCATGTGACTCAGATCTTGCGAGTACTGTCTTATGATTGCTCTTCACAGGGTAGGCAGTTTCGGGAGATTCCACAATCAGATTTCCGGACATAGCCAGAACACGAATTCGAGAATTAGGTTGCAGTCTTCGTTCGTTGTGCTGGGGTTCTGCTGAATGACACAACAGTTTTCAGTTTTTTGAGGGGACTTGAAGTTGTTCTTTGCTACGGTTCTGGTCTTGCCACACAAGCCGGGGACGTGCCATGTTTTTTGGGGGGACAAGAGCACGTAGGACCTATCGATCGGTGGCAATCGTAGTCGCGGAGAGTGCTCAGAAGCTGGTGCGGTAACACGGTCGGCTAGCCGCGAGTAAAAATTAAATTTTTACTCAGAGCCCAAACTTAGCCCAGAGACGGCCCAGCTGACGCCAGAGTATTTGCGAAACAAAAGTTCGGTTCCAGCGTCGACATCTGGATGCCGACGCCTGAGCCCATCCCGAATGAGGCTTAGAAGAGAAGAGCCGGCTCAACGCCACAGAGACCAACGCCAGGATCAGGGTGCTTTTCCTAGCGTTGACAGGAAAACCAGGGTCTCCAGCGTCGACATCTGGATGCCGACGCCACGGCTCGATCCCCAGTTTTGAGGTTCTCTGGCGTTGAGCTAGCCGTTCTGGCCATGTCGGGTCAGAAGAAGCGGCCGTCCTTGGCCAGCCAAAAAGCTGCGGCATCAAGCTCGAAAAAGCCGAAGGCAACGACTGATGCGGCTGGCATCGGCAGTCACCCGCTTATCGAGGCTTTGAATGAAGCACAAGCGTGCCTGGCTGGGGAGTTGAAGGACCACGGTTGCAATTGCCAAATGCAGCAGACCTGTCTACATCATGTAGTGAGGAAGACGCATCTTGTGGCAGGACCTTCAGGGCAAGGAGCCCCTGGACTTTGCAGGCGTGTCTGCGTATGACAAGCAAGACTTTGCCGCTGCGATGAAGAAGTATGGATGCTTCGAGTGCTGTGTGACATTGGCATGGTTCAACCCTCTGCACTTTGCCCACCGAGCCATTCCTCCGGCTCTCGGCTTTCTGGTTGCACAACAGACTTTCGCGTCGCCGAATCGGATTCAGAGTGTATGCAGAAATTCACTGGTGCATCCTACTGTTTCCAATTATTAGAGTTTATCATCTTTCCGGTAGACATGTCGACGTGCAGCTGCTGCATGTCTCCACTTTGCATCGCTTGACACACTTGACCTGCTTTTTCAAAAGCCTGACATCCAGTCTCCTGCCTCAGCTGGCAGCATAGACTCTACGTGTATGCCGGTGCACACCCATGTCTGAAGCTGTTAGATTCTGCTGTTATCTTCGGGGGTCATTCGTCGGTGGAGAAGAAGAAAAGGAATCATCAACCTACCCCAGGCTCCGTGAAGCTGAAAGCAGAGAAGAAGTACAAGACCAATGATGGGTTCTGGCATGCCGGAGACTCTGTCATGGAGCCTATCACGGTTCGCGCGAGGAGTGCGACCGACCCGCCCACACAAGACCTCGAAGCACTTCATAAAGATGCTGAGCGAGCTTCCTTTCTGTTTGCTTGGTGGCAGGCAAAAGTGCAGCACTTGGCCGAAAAGACCGAGGAGACGACCCGGGCATTGAAGAGCTTCTTCATGATGGCTCGCTCCTATCGTGTCACTCAGCAGCAACAAAATGAAGGAGTATCTCTCATGAATAGATGCATCCATTTGAGAATTCTGATGACATGTACCGAAGGTGCGCTATGTGTTGATACCCGACGACGAGCAGTGTGAACGCCGCAAGTTTGAGCTTGCGGAGGAAGTCGAAGACGACAAGGAGGTGTTGACGCTTCAAGGCTTTCGACAGCTGCGTGCGGTTCACATGCTCCAAGAGTTTCTTCGCCAACGGGGGAAGCCTTGCGATGCAGAGGCCATCGAGAAATGGAGCCTTTTCTGTAATATTCCTGTGTGACACTGCAAGAGATTCTCAGTATCAAAATCACACCCATGTTTATCTCACTCGAGGCTTGGGCCCAAGATCAAGAACCTCAAGGCCCCCAAGATAAAGATGATGGTGCGGATCTACGAGCGGATGAACCATCCGGAGGTGGAGAGTCTGATTGTTGCCCTCGACGATGAGTTTGGTTCCAGCCATTGCTTCAACCACCTATTTGCGTTGGACATCATCAGCAGCAAGACATGGATCCCGAAGAATGAGCCGGGCTCCATAGCATTGCTGAAATGGTGCATGGAGAGACTCAGCAGCATCACCAACTTAACAGACCACGAACAGCAATCACGACGATAGCTTCGAAACCTTTGATTGAGTGCTCAACTAGATCTAAGGATCATTTGCGCAAACATCATGCAGGGCAGGGTCTCTGCAAAACTCACGAAAGAGGGAATGGTCCAGGAGGTAGCTATTGCCTTGCTCAAGAAAAGGGTCGCAACCTTCTGCATCAACAAGTTTGCTGGTGAAGACAAAGGCGATGTTACCTACGAGCCTCACCGGGCCCCATCGCAAGTTCTCTCTGCCATCTTCTCATCCTTTTCAGCGGTGCGGAGCAGTGGCATCATGGAGAGCAGCACAGCCAGTTCTTCCTTGGGCTGGTTGGGTCTGCTGCCAGCTTATCAGATCGATGTCATCATGTTCCTGGCCAAGGTCCTGCGGGGCCACGCTTCCTTGGACGAGATCTTTGATCACTGTGTCACACAGGACAAAATTGTCCCGGCAGAAACTGCCCTTGTGTGCGAGAAGATGTTGAAGTCGGGCCTCTTCGACCTCTCAGGGCTTCTTGAGAGCAAGAAGGAATCCGAGCTGAAGGCCCCACCCGATGCACCGGAGCCTCCGAAAGTAGAAGAGAAGGATTCTGAGAAGGATGAGAAGCCGGAAGAGCCAGACAAGGAAACCATCCTGGCTGGCGGCTGTGAAGAGGCTCCTAAGTCGGAGCCGCCACGTGTGAACCGCGTCTCCTGGTTCTCCAAGCTTCACATTCCTCAGGTGATTATCTCAGTCTTGGAGAAACACTCAGACCTTTACTTCGAGCAGGTCATCGAATGGGCTGAAATCAGGGTCCGTGCCTTCATGAATCTGGAGGTGAAAGAAACGGCCGTTCCGGCTCTGAAGGAGCAGCTTGCTCGGATCAAGGGTGGTTTGTCGTGCCTCTTCATCATGGACGTGAAGTCGCGACTGCGGCTGCCGTCGGATGGGATTCTGCTGCGCCCCTTCAGAAGGCCAGTCCCCCTCAACCAGTCTTCTTTCAGGAAGGTGCTCCATGCTTTATGGAATGACCCTGCCAAGCAAGAGACGCCAAGCATCGTCAGCATGTGCAGGTTGTAGTATTGGCTTCCCACAGTAGTACCTGTCGCCTAATTGATGACCGTTGTAAGGAAGCCGCCGCCCATGGTCTTTGATGAGCACGACATACTGCTCCTCCTTGACGGCAGGAGTCCGAGCACCTTCGACTACATGTCCAAAGAATTGGGCAAAGTTTTGAGGCCAGAGCCAGTGGCATCCTCGTTGCCAGTGCGCAAAACCACCATCATTCGCCGATTTTACAGGAACGACGAGTTCCAGAGCGGGTATGCTTCGGCGAGATGCAGACGCACACTCAATCCATTGTTGCCGGACCCCCTCGAAAATTTAGTGCTTGTGGCGACCAAGACGGCAATGGCAAGACTTCCGCTAAGACGCAGCTCCGAGGCTGAGAAGGTGCAGGACAATTACTGCCGCGGCTGGCAGGACATGACAATGAAGAGCCACCTATGTCAGCAGTTCAGCACCGTGACCCTCCAGACCTACGAGAAGCTGCTGAAGCCTGATGCCGGCACCGAGGGCGCGACCGAGGATAACCACGCCGTTGCCACTCAGGACCCTGTCAACGAGCCGGGGAACGATGACCCGGCATCTGCTGAAGGTATTTGGTGCACACCGTGGGAAAGCAGTGAGCAGGACTTCAAGCTGATGGTGGATCTGTTTCAGCCTGAGGGATGCAAGCGTGTGGTTGGCTTGGAAGCAGGCAGTGGCATGTT